TTTGGCTTGTTAGTATATGACATAAATTAGGATTGATTGGCGTATTCAGTATTCAATTCTGTTTGGCCACTTCCTGTTTCACCGGAAATGACTACCACTTTTGATTTTTAAATGGCACCCTCGATATTTTTTTACTTTATTCGAAAGAAAATGACACTCTGAGTAGAATGACATATCATATGTCCACTTTTGACGTTTTCGCTTAAAACAAAATTGTATTTTAAAGTTCAATCTAGAGTGCCATGGCTGTGTTAAAAACACTAATTTTTAATCAAGGAGCCTTGGAAAAATAGCTTTCATCGTCTAATGTTTTTAGTGTGATCTTAGTTAGGTTAAAAATGCCCAAATCGATTTTTTAATCATTTCTCAATTTTTTTCAAATGGAACAAGGATGGCTCAGTAGCATATTAGGAAAAAACATTTTTTTATGAATAATTTGGTCATCACACACAGCATTTCGAGTCAAATTGTCGTTATGAATCTCATGTTGCAGTCTCAAATAAACCATATTCGAAAATGTCAAAAGTTGACGTATGATACGTCATTCTATTCAGAGTGTCATTTTCTATCCAATAAGGTAAACAAATACCGAGGGTGCTATTTAAAAATCAAAAGTTGTAGTAATTTCCGGTTAAACAGGAAGTGGCTAAAAACAATTGAATACGTCAATTAATCCTAATTTATGTCATATATTAACCAATATACCAAATCTCTATTTTTATATCTAAAAAAAAATAAAAAAGTTATAGGGGTGAGCCACTTTTGAGACGCATCCGATATACTTGAGTTGACCTTGAAACCTATGTGATTATTTTTCCATAGGGTGTCATTCAGACATCCAGCCCCTCTTATTGCTTTTGTTGTTTGTTGTCTTACCTCTGTTTCGAGATTGCCATAACCGGATAGCTCTATACCAAGATATTTAAATTTTTCATTTCTTGTGTCCACGACAATCTTGGATCTGATAGGTATTTTTGATGTTGACAGGCTCTTTCTTTTAGAGGCAGAAATTATCATATTTAGAGATTTTACTAAAGGTTGAAGCAATATACCAGTCTGTTGAGGTCGTCCTTATTTTCTGTGACTAGAACAGCGTCGTCAGGGAGCTCCCCATCGATATTTGCCTGGATTTTGTTGGCACTGAATGTATTTTTTATGACTTTAATTAAATTATGATGTACTTATCTGTCTTAGAGTAAATGTAAAAGATATTCTAACTGAACCCGATCAAATGCTTTCTCTGGTATCTCATAGCTTTTAATTCCTCACTGAGCTAATTATTCGCAAAAGGCTAGTCTAAACATGCAACATTTTTTTTTCTGGAAATTAATGCAAGTAACATTTTTTTTAAAATGCGTATAAACCGATAGAATTTATCGTTATATTTATGTTACTATCATTTACAAGATCCCAGTCTATTTGAGCGACCTTCTCAAACAATTAAGAATAGTTAGAACTTTATGTCATCGAGCAAACACCATATCCAGTGACCAAGCATCACTTAATGCTGAATACAAAATAATAATGTAATATTATAAACTATTCTTAAGCGTTATTAACTATTATAAACCATTATAAGCAATCCTAGTACGGAAGTCTGTACAATATGGCAATTGCTTATAAAGCGCACCGATCCAGTGGACAACCTCACGGTTGACTGCATCTTCTTTTTCACGGGTTAATGTCTAGTAGTATGTAGTCTAGTATAAAAGCTCAGTAGTTTTAGGATTTAAATTCGTTTACATTTCAGATAACGGTAAGTGATACATCTGACGTAACGTTGTGTAAGATATATTAAAAAAAGACTATTCTTCATCTAAAGAATCACTTTAAGCCCGCGAACTTTATTACATTAACCCTTCAGCCACAAATTATCTTCCTCTTACATTATAGTATATAACGGATAATATTTAAATCGGATAAAATATAAACGTAAAGAAGGGTTAAACAGACTCTAAAATAACATCTATATAAAACTTTATACTGATGTTCCACTTTTTCCGCGTCATAATATTATTCCGCTCTACATTTCCTCCAGAATATTACCGTCCGTTATTACAAAAATAATAAATGTAACGCCCATAAATGAAACGGAGTGCTCTAATACTCAGTAGATTTGATAATGTCTGTGCCATTAGCCATAGAGGATTTCTTTATGCCCCCTTTTCTCTCTCACGTCGGCAACCAGACACGCTAAAAAGAGCTTTTCGCAAACGGAATTTATGATCTCGTTCTGTTCGCAGTGGAAACAAGTGCAGCCGGATTTTATATGCCGACATATTCGGGTGCAGCGTTAAGAATAGTGGTGCGATATCGTAAAAATGTCAGGCAAAATAATTTTCTGTATGGTGGAGTGGCTTCTTAATCTATATACCACCAACATTCTATGTTGTTAATGCTCCGTGTTATGTTCGAATTGAGATCGAATATTTGAATCGAGATGTTCGAAATAGATTCGAAGATTACTTCGTTGTCCATTTTTCATTTAGCTGGGCGTAGGACTTTTCGATTCGAGCTAATGAGTTAATTATTTTTCTCTGTATTCTTCTTTTCTTTTCTTATTATTCTGCTGGTGTAGTTTTGCTACTGGTGAAAAGAGATGCTTTGAGAAGGGTAGATAAAAGGCGAGAAAATATCTTGGTGTAATTGGATTGATACAATGTTAGTGTGTCATTTCAAGTAAGAGATTTACAATTTAACGCCCATGTTGTTCTCTTCTCCTTATTCTTCTTCCATCCATTCTGGTCTAGTTTTGCCACGGCTGAACAGAGATACTTTGAGAAGGGTGATGAACTGGAAGGCGAGCGAATATCTTGATGTAGTTGGATTAATCCAATAATTAGGTGACATTACAAGTAATTTGTTTACAATTTGGCATCTGCGTTTATCTCTTTCTTTTAATTCTCTTTACCGTAATTAGTAATTCTCTACTCCGTACTTGTGTAGTTTGGCACGTAGCTATATATTCTGTGCTTAGATTATAGAAGCAATTCAACAGTTCTTGTGGTTCAGCTTTCCAGCAATGATATTCTACCTCATCAGCTAATGAGTACTAAACCTTTTAAGTTGGTATAGTGTACTTCTTCTTCTTAAAGTGCCTTCTCCATTCAATGAAGATCGGCAACAACCATGGCAAATTCCTCTCTATTTTTCGCTCTTCTCAGCAAAGTATGTGAGTCCAGGCCTGTCCAATCTCTGATGTTCTTCGGCCAGGAGCATTGCCGTCGTCCGGGGCCGCGCTTTCTCTCAATTTTACCCTCGATGATGAGCTGAAGGAATTCATACTTGCTATGTCTCATGATATGGCCCAAATAGGCTGCTTTCCTCTTTTTTATTATGTCGAGGAGTTCTCGGTCCTTGTTCATTTGGTTTAGAACTCGTTCATTCGAGACACGGTCAGTCCATGGTATTCTCAGCATTCTGCGATATACCCACATCTCAAATGCTTCCAACTTATTCATTGCGCTTACTTTGAGTGTCCACGACTCAACCCCGTAGAGAAGTGTGGAAAGTACGTAGCACTTGACGAAGTTGTCTTTTATATGGATGTTGAGACGTTTATCGCACAGTAGGTTCCGCAATTTTAGGAAGTTTGATCTAGCCATCTCAATTCGAGCTCTGATCTCAATGTCTGGGTTTAGGTCTTCACTAATCCAACTGCCCAAATATCTAAACTTTGAGACTCTTGCTATTGGTGTCCCACCTACGACTACCTCCGTTGCCTGTCTTGCATCTCTATTTATCACCATGACTTTTGTTTTGTTTGTATTTATCCTGAGACCCATTGAGTCGCCCACCGAGGACAGTCTATCAAGAAGTCTTTGCAGGCCCTCAGTGGTGTCTGCAATAACGACGGTATCATCAGCATATCTCATGTTGTTAATCAGCCTGCCATTCACTTTTATGCCGTCTTCTGATCCCTCAAGCGCATTTCGAAATATTAGTTCGGAGTACATATTGAAGAGCATAGGGCTCAATACGCATCCTTGCCTAACTCCACGCTTGATAGGTATTGCTGTTGTTTCAGTGTCCTGTAGTTTTACTGTCGCTACTTGTTGTTCGTATAGCTTTTGGATAATTTTCAGGTCTTGGGTATCCAGGCCTCTTCTTTCAAGGATGCTCAGCAATTCCCTGTGGTTGACGCAGTCGAATGCCTTCGTGTAGTCTATGAAGCATAGGTGTACCTCCTTTCGTTGATCTCTGCACTTCTGCAAAAGCACCGATAGCGCAAACAGGGCTTCTCTCGTCCCCAGTCCCTCGCGAAATCCCATTTGCTGTTAACTTATGTCTAGCTCACATTTTCTTCGGATTCGATTATGCAGAACCTTTAAAAACAGCTTTAGGACTTGACTCATCAGACTTATTAAACGAAACTCATCACATCTTTTTGCACCAGTTTTTTTAGGAATAGGTATAAATGTCGACCTTAGCCAGTCCTGCGGTATGTTTCCGGTATTGTATACAGAATTTTGAAGAGGTTTACCAATAACTTTAAATTGTCTCCGTTTATTAGTTTTATCAATTCTGGGTAGATGTTGTCCGGTCCAGCTGCTTTCCCGTGTTTGGTGTTCTTTAAAGCCCTCTCGATTTCTGCGATCATTATATCTGGACCATTTTCAGTTTCTATTTGGGAGTGAAAAGAGGGACCACCGTCATCGAACAGTTCCCTTATGTAATTGGTCCATACCTCCTCTAGTTTTTGTTCGGTTAGGATTGGTTTATTCTCACCGTCCACGATTCTGATACATGTTCGAGGTTTGTGTTTCCCAGTGACTTCTTTGACTTTTTTATGTAATATAAAGAAGTCATGTTTTTGTTGGAGCTCCTCGACTTCGCGGCACCTCTCCATCATCCACAGTTCTTTGGCTTCTTTGATTTTATTTCTGATAAGCCTGTGAGTGTCTCTGTATCTCTGAGGGTCTGTGCCTTTAAAACTTCGCCGCTTTTCCATGAAGTCTAAAATTTCTTGAGTCATCCACGCTTTATGGTGCTTCTCGTTATTATTTGTTGTTAGTTGTTCTTGTTTCCTGCAGCGCTTCTTTAATTTTCTTCCAGATGTTCTCTATGTTATTGTGGTCTTCCAGTCCAGGGGTTTGAGAGGCATTTGGCTGTTGGATCTTTCCTAGTTGCTCGTTGAGTTTGTTGGACACGTCTTGTCGTTGTGCCTCACTTCTCAGTAAACTCATGTTGGGTTTTTTAGTGAACTTCCGAACAATTTTTTTGAGCCTCATTCGGATTCGTGCCACAACGGGATTATGATCTGACCCAACATCCGCTCCTGGGTAAGTCTTTGCACTAAGTACTCCATTTCTGTATCGTTTTGGAGCTAATATATAATCAATTTGGTTACGTATTGGGTTTTGCTTTGAATCTTGTGGCGATTTCCACGTATAGAGCCGCCTTGCAGGTAGTTTAAACCACGTATTGCAGATAAAGAAGTTCTCTTCCTGACAGAATTGGATTAAGGTGTCGCCTCTTTCCTTTCTTTCGCCTGTTCCATAGTCGCCAACGACATCCTCGCTTTTCCCTTTGCCAACTTTGGCGTTAAAATCTCCTAATATAAAGGTAATTTCATTTTTTCTGCTGTAAGATAGCAGTTGTTTCACTTCAGCATACTAAGATTTAATTTCCTCTTCTGGTTTGTCGGCAGTTGGAGCGTACACCTGGAGAATATTTAAATTCTTTGGTGTGACTTTAAGTTGTATCATCATAGCCCTGTCGGACATAGGAATAAAGTTAAGGACCGAAGGACCAGTTCTCGCGTCCAAAAGAACTCCAACGCCGTTCGGGTGGCTAGCGCTGTCGTTTCCGGAGTAATACAGTGTTGAGTCGTCAACCTTTATTTGTCCACTATTCGGCCATCTTGTCTCGCTTATTCCCAGTATATTTATATCCAGTCTGTTCATTTCCTGTCTTATGTTGTGAAGTTTTCCAGCCACATACATGGACCTGACATTCCATGTACCAATCTTTACTGTCCTTGCACAGTTGGTTTTTAAATAGTTCGAGTTTTTCTACGCGGGGATTCTTAGCACCCCTTGACCATCTAAGGTCTGCCGCGGACTCGGGGCCATTGACTTTTGTTGCGTTGCCATGTTTTGTTTGTCTTGAGAAATCTCTAGAGATCTTTAATATGGTGGTTTCTCGTTGCCTTCCATATCCTTATGCCGTTGACTTCTTAAAGTTCATCCGCCTTTTTTCAGGACGATTTCTCACCCCATGGTCAAAAGAGTGCCCTTCCACACTCCGCTCTTCCGCCCTTTGAGAAAAGACCGTTGGCAGAGTGAGTGCGATCGCTTATCCCGGCGATCACTCGGCTCATTGCTCACCATATTTGGCTACCCTCACTTGGTTTAGTCTGTGGGTCAACACAGTGTACCGGGGTGTGGCGCTTGGAGCCAGCAAGTGAGAGTTGGGTGTCTCGTGAGGACCAGTTATCTGGGACCTCCGCCCGCCTATGGCGCTTGGTGTGACCGTACCAGACAAAAGGTACTACCTCTCCAACACACCCCTACACCCCGGTATAGTGTACAGTTACATAAAAATGTAGGGTGCCTTTTTTTTCTTAAAGCACAGTGCCTTTTGAATCTGAATTATGCCTTTTGGATATGACTGGATCACCAGCGAGTCTCAATATTTGAAACAGAAAAAACAGAAAAAAAAATAGTTATACTAAATAATTAAAGCCTAATCCTGCTAATCCAACTAGTTATCTGCTAAGTGGAACTGCCATCACGTTCCTTGCAATGTCTAAACTTCAGGCTTTCTACCAGTCTCGTGCTCTGCATATTCTCAGCCTGAAGTAGTACATACCGGTACTGTAGACAGCATTAAGGCAGCATTTCTGAGACTATTAGAGAGTTCTGTGATATACCGTTTGGATTCTTCAGTAATTATATTACTGGAAAGTTTTTTTCTCATGCTCCTTCCCAGCATCTTAAATACCCCTGTCAAGCTTTTAGGAAGTGTAGATTCTCTAATAAGGTACACATTCTCGCAAAGAAGCGGTCCTTATCGTCATTTCATTTTATTCATTGCGTTGTGTTACATACTGTTTTTTATCCAGCATTTTGGAGTATCACCAGAAAGGCTTTAATAGGTTTTCCATATTCATACCTAATGGAAAAAGGTTTCAAAGCGATTGCCCATTTTCTAATAAAAAAAAGAAACAAACTTGATATAAATCGAGAAGACAATTACCTAGTTTCATCTAGCTAATCAGTTCACACTTGATAACGGTCAGTGATACTTCTGACCGAAATATTGTGTAAGCAAAATAAATAAAGACAATGGAAGTCCGAAACTCTTTTAGTTTTAATTTTGACATATTTCACAGTTTGTGAAAATGAAGAATAAATTTTAAATTTTTTCAATAACGGCTACCTAAATTGTAATTTACTGTCTGTATAGCCTGATATTTAATTGCAATAACCATTTATGTTAAACCAAATTAAAATTTGACCCGAAAAGTTATACAGGGTGACACAAAATTAATATTGAACATTGGTCACATTTAAAAGCAAGTTACCCCTATTTTAAATAGAACCAGTATATTATTTCGATGTTCAATGGAGAATTCATATATCTTCAAAATGTTATTAAGGTTGCCCACCCTTCGGACAAAGATTTTTCTAGATATTTTCATTTTTATCATTTTGCATCAGTAGATCTTTATTATTTGGAAAAGTCTAGGGTGGCTGTGATATTGCTTTTGTTAATTTAACAAAAATTAAATGTTGTAGAGTAAAATACTCAACGGCAATAAAAAGATACACATTTAAGACATATTTCCATTATTACAGGATTAAAACTAGATATAAACTTATGAAATTAAATGCTCAAAATGCTTGCTTTCCTGTTCACTGCATAAATTCATTATTCCAGACTAGATATAATTAGAAGCATTTAAGTATTCTATTAATTGGTGATTGCACACTGCACTCACCAACTAATAGAATCATATCAATTCTCTCTGATGTAGGATAAGTTTCCAGTTTCGGCAAATTTCTGAGAATATTTTTTGTTTTAACTGACACAAAACGATAACTAGTTGTTAAAGTTGATCTAATTAGACATGTATGTTGAAGTAACGTCAGACATATCACAGCGACCTAGATTTTATCAAATAATAAAGATCTACTGTCACTAAATCATAAAAATGAAAATATCTAGGAAAATCTTTGTTTTAGAGGTAGGCAACCCTAATAGTATTTTGAAGCGACATGAATTTCCCATTAAATACCGAAATAATATTCTGGGTGTTCCATTTAAAATAAAAGTTTAACTTGCTATTAGAGGTGACTAATTTCAATATTAATTTTGTCTTACCCTATATAACTCCATATAACTTTTTGGGTCAAGTTTTAATTTGATTTAAAGTACAATAGTTATTTTAACTACATATTAGGCTATACCGGGTAAATTCCAATTTAGGTAGCTGGTGGTTTCTGGTGAAATTTAAAAAGTGTGATTTATTTTAGAAAAATGATAAATATGCCAAAAACCTTGCATTTTAGTTATATGCTTTTCATACTCTTCTTATAAAACTCACCTTTACGTTTCTCCTAGAATCCGAAAATCAAAGAATATATAGGGTATTCCATTATAAAAAACACAACTTTGATGTGTCAATTTTTTGGGGACACCCTGTAGAACATTCTATATTTTTGAAAAGTGCTCTAAATTAACCTACATATGTCACAAAATTTCATTTCAATACAATCCTTGGAGCCTCCGCGTCGTATGAGAGGCAGAGGCCACACTGTACAACCCTAAATTTTGATCCTTCTTACCATCAACCCCTCTCTTTTAATAGCGATATTAGTAATTCAATAATTTTCAACCCCGGTGGATAACTTTTTTTGATAACCCCCACTGATCGTTTATTACGATTATTACTTTTACAGCGCCTCTATGCCTCTTCCACTCATATACACCACAAAATGTTTCCAAGTTTTCTTTTTTAAGTGAAACTTCTTTAAACGCGATGGGAGTAAAAATTCAAGGCCGCGACACATGAGCTCGCGTCATGACACGCGTCACAAAAGTGGTGAAGATCGAAAAAGTGGTAAGGCCAATGAGGATGTTGAGATGGGTCTTTGGAGCGCCGTAGCTCGGGCCCTATGTGAGCTAGGGAACTGAAACTCGGAATGTAGATGGGTCTCTTCGAGCCCGCTATTAATGGAGAAAATATCATCCGATTTAAGTGAAATTTGGTCTGTCGATAGACTCAACCAAGGTCAAGTTCTAGCTAATCAAGGCCTACTTGACCGTGTACTACACGTGTCACTTTGAGACTTTTTTACGTAAGAAATGTCAAAAATTGATGTCGTCGATTGCGGTCGCGATCGGGCGACACAATTTTTTGGTGGGTAAGCTAGGTGGGCAACGGGGCACAAAGTTCCAGCAAATTTATTTACAATTTGATGTCTGTGTTTTCCTCTTCTCCCCAGTTTCTCATCATCTGTACTTGTGTGGTTTTGCCACTACCGAACAAAGCTTCTTTGAGGATCTGTGCGGTTTGGACTGATAGATACATTGCTAGTGTGTCACTACAAATAATTCACTTACAATTTGACGTCTATATTTTCCTCTTATCTCAGTTTCTCTTCATCCGTGCCGGTGTCGTTTTGCCACGTCGGACGACACCATCAGAGGGCGCAAGAACCACCACCGCCGCCGCCGCCGAAATTGAATCGGTCGGTGGCGGCTTCGGTCGCTGCGTCCTCCTCGGTGGTGGCAGCGACGTCGGCGGCGTCTCCCCAGTGCAGTGCCAGACGTCGGGACGGACGGTATGTGCGCCGCGACGCGAGGGCAATTGCCAGACGGCACGCGGACGACGACGCGTCCTCGTCGGCCGGCCGCGCCAGCCACCAGGTAGTGCAAGCGGCGACCTATCTCGGCCAATTATTGGCCTCCGATTCACGTTATTACCTGTTCTTATCAAATCTAATCGCAAAATATAGAAACAAAACAGCGTGGTTGTGGGTTGCGTTTTTGTTGCTAGTTCATCTCGTATTCGAGTTTGGAATAACGAAGGGTTTAAGGCCTGTTAAAGTTTGATTTATGATAGCAATAGATTCTACTATTTTGTCCTCTTCCTTACGCCAAGTTAGAATCGTCAGATTAAAATATCCTATATAAGTATCAAACGTGCGAGTTTTGTCTGATACCTGTGTTTTCAGTCACATTATTTTTTAAATCGAATATTTTCTGAATGCATCTTTAATTAATGTGATCAACAAGTGTGAGCAAGTTTAAGTCTCGCTTAAAATATCGCATAGAAGATATTAAAGATAAATTGTTCTTAAGGTATTTACAACTTTTCTCTATTCATTATTTTTGGAAAACTGGTGTTGATCTTTATGAAGAGCTTTTGATTAATACTAATGTTAAATTTTTATTTAACATCGTCATTAAGCAGCAAAAATCTAGCTTAAAATATCGCATAGTTAGTAGGTTAGTAAGTTATTAAAGACGAATGTTATTGTTGTTGAGGCAATTTCAAGTTTTATTATATTCATTACAATGAAGATTTTATATATAGCAAAACTATGTTGATATTTATGAAGGACATTTAATTATTAATAATATAATTATTATTTTTACCATGGTAATATTGAGTATATAGCTACTAGAGATATTGCTTACAAGTGTCACAAAAATGATGATATTGTTCCTAAAATAATTATTGAATACTCTCTACATTTTTCTAAAATTTAAGTGACTTTAAGTTCATCTGGTATTCTTGTTTGGAATATCGTTATGTTATGGGTCTGATAATGATTTGATTGAATCATGACATTAGTAGATTCTATGCCTTTTCCTTGTCTCTTACGCCGTGTTACAATCGTAAGATTAAATATATCTTAGAAGTATCAAGCGTGAATTTTGTCGTGAATGACACCTGTGTTTCCAGTCACATTTTTTTTAAATCGAATATTCT